GAGGGAGGGAAGGAAATCAGAGCCAGGAGGGAATGAAATTGGAATGGAAGGATGGAGAAAGTGAAGTCAGAGCAGATGTAGCGGGGTAAAAGGGGGGGGTGAAATTGATGTTGCTGAGGTTACACGCCCTTCCCTTCTACTCCCACAATATACAGCCTAAAAGTATTTCCTGTTATAAATTAAAGTACAGTTGGCCTGGCAACCCTGTGTGTGTTACACTATCAAATCCAGATGGCTTCTGTTCACCGTGCTCTGATATCAAACTGGAGGAGAGAGGAGAAGGGAGAGGCGGGCAGTGTGGAGCACTGTGGCTATCCATGCAGAACAGAGCTTGTCTAGAGGGATGAAACACACACACACACACACAAACACACACACAAACACACACACATGCGCTCACACAGCTCCAGGCTCTCTGGCTGCTGTCCCACTGTCTGGCTGCCTCAGTCACTCACTCTGTTCAGATTCACAGGCAGAGTCTGGCTCCTCCCGTGTCCGTTTCACGTGCTGAATTCGTTGGAAGTTTCTCATTTTATTTCACTTTCAAAATTCTCACGATCTCACACGTTCCAGTCGAAAGTCTTATCACTCTAATTTCTAGCATTTGGCTGGTTTTTTTGTGTGTTTACTACTGATCGTGAACCAATCTATCAAAGTGACCGGGAGACCTGGCTCTGTGCTGGACACTGTGCTGGGCACTGCTCCATAGTGGACTGTTCACACATCCTCTTCGATTTGACTAGAGCTGCATGGATAAATGTCAGTGATTTTTCAGTCAAGTGTCAAATTCTTAGTTTTTACTCATAAACTCGGCCAAAGAAGTCTAATAATAATAAATCAGCATTGTGATAATTTAGTCTATTAAAACTATTAGGCTTTTAGTTTTAAATTCCAGCCACTTCCATTGATTCATCAAACTGAACAGACATCAATGACTGACATCACAGAGAGACAGACAGCAGAATCTAATCTTTCTTACTCCTGCCTGCAGTTATACTTCTATCAGCTCCATTGTTCCGCCTCTATTAGGAACGCCGAGCCAACCGTTAAATCAAAAGGGGTGTGACCTTTTATCAAACGGCGTTGAGCACCGCAGTAATCCCCCGACGCCAAGCAGCCTCCCTCCCTCGCTGTCTTCAAAGTCGTTAGCTAACAGTCTAATTAAGAGGCAGCCAAACAGCACCTGCACACCAATTCTCTCAAGCACCGTCCCTTATGCTGAACTCTCGGAGTAACAAACCAGCAGTCAAATCTCCCTGCAGGGTAACTCCCGTCAGTTCTGTTGCAAGAAAAGTCAAGAAACTCACAACGATCATTTCCTACACACACACAGCCGTGTTTCCATCTCCCGACATGTCTGGAAGCCCTTCTGCCAGAGCTGCTCATTGGCTGTCAGAGGGAGGGAAAGGTTGCCCTCTGCTGCCTCAGTTTGGGCTGAACCAAAGTAAATAATAGCTAAAGTGTGGAATGCGCCGCTAAGTGGCAGAAAACTGTGGTGGGTTTTTGTGAATACAGTTTTTCAAGACAATCCCTGGCATTTTTATTTTTCTAGATTTTTCCCGCAGTTCTGGATGCTGTGCAGCTCAAATGATTTCTTCTATTTTCTTCTGCTTTGGACAGTTTAAAGACCTGTTTTGATGAGTTTACATAGCAAGAGGAGAGCTGTTAACTACCAGATCAACTGATAAAGCCCTTCCAAATCAAACTAATCAGTAAAATAAAACAAAAATTCCAATGGAGTTGAAAAAGAAGAGAAGAGCATGCAGGGCAGGAATTTCTTCCAAACGTTCTGGGACGTAATTTTTTTCAGAGATAAAGTATTGTTTTATTTTCATTGATTCATTTTATGGACAGGAACGTTCACCTGCTGCTGGACTTAGATGTGATGTGTAAACCTTTACCTTTACCACGCCATGCATTTCATCCGAATGCGCTTCAAAGCTGGAATTTAACCTGCTAACTCGGGCCATACATTCTGCCCTGGAGCAGTACAGGTTCCAATCTGCTGCCTAGGGACATTTCACATCCAGTCCTTCTTGTAGGGATTCCTTGAACTTGGCCTGCTCAGGTCTAAAAGTCAAAGATAAGTAGCATATCCATATGAAAAGATCACATTTTCGATTGTCAGCCCAGTGAAATGTGTTCCACTAGTAGGTGGCACTAACAGACTACGTTGTTGCTTGTACACCCATCAGTTGTTAGTAATGGAGGTCAAGTTTCCCTGTTTGGAACCATGTGCTCATAATGATTTCCTGTGGTAAAGCAACCGGTATTGACTTGTTGTTTTGTTTTTTTTCTGCTTAGTACACAAGAATCATCAGTGGATGAGGATGAAGGGGATTTTCCAGGAGAACTTACCCTGCATCCTGACCCCCTGACCCCCGCCAACGCAGTGGATGCTCACAGGGACTCACAGACCGGTAAATACTGTCAGGAAATGTTAGAACCACCACAGAGCAGAGTACCTTATGGTGCTTTATATAGTTACAACCATAAAAACAGAAGTGTGTGCATTAAAACTTTGGGTACCTGACTGTCAGATGGTCCAGTATGGTAGTTGTTTGGTATACAGGTGATGCTACACATTCCTGATTTGTGTTGTGTTGTGTGTTGTGTGGTATCTGCATACCAGTTCCATGTGCTTCACTGTACACTCAGACACTTTTATCCAAAGAGACTTTAAAGGTTACAGGAGAATTAAGAGTCAGAGGGGTAACCCAGGTCCCTATGAGAGTATTGAGGGAGGTGAGAGTAGACCCAGAGATCACTTATGGCCCCTTTTCATTAGTACCCACTCAGCACGACTCAATCCTTGTTTTTGTTTGTTTTCCTACGTATGCATCAGGTAGCTGCTCCTGGTACCAGTCACAGGTTTAGCTCCCACTTAACTGTGGTTCCAAGCTAGCCAAGTCGAGCTGACTGCAGGTTGCTAAATGGTCAAGGAGTCAGACGACTGGATAAGACATAAAAACGTCTCCTTTGCAAGAACTGCATCATTTTAAAGATGCAGCTGAACCAAGCATGTGATCTAATATGGATGTGATCATCAATGGGTTAATGGCTAATCTCAACCCAGCACCATGGCCCAACAACCAGGTGCACCTCCATGGTTGTGTCACATACAAATGACATCATGGGGATTTTATGAATAGGCAATCCAGTGGTGGATCTAATGAGCAGGAGCTGCATCCCCTTAGCCTCATAACCTTTCCTCCATTTGAGTTAATCATCGCAATATGCAGTTCATGAAAATATTATTGGAATAATGATTCTGATGCCTTTCGCACCATTAGAAATTATCAGTAATTTAACACTGACTGTTGAAGTGTATTGTATTCTAGTGCCTCTCCTTTGGCTTTCTCTGTAAACCTCTGCTGTCAGTAAAATGTGATGTTTCAGAAATGCTAACAGTATTCTTCTCTTTTGATTTGGCGGGCAGACTCTGTAAGGAACGGTGAAGAAGTCCTAGAGGAGGCTGTTGTTGATGAGGAGGCCATCCTGAGCCTTCTGGAGAACAGTCAGACCTTTGTCCCGCCGTCTCAGACATCCACCCATTCAGCCCTGTTAGGTACCACCTGCATCCCTGTACTTTCTGTCAACCATCAACCTTATTTTTGTCCACCTGAATTCAAACATCATTCTTTTCCATATTTCTAAAACCTGTATGATTATGTTTATTCAGCATTGACGATAAAAGTCTGCATTAGTACCACAGCATCAGTAACTGACCAGCCTTAAACTGTTTTTTAAAAGTCATGAGCTTTTTAGCTTCTTTTTTTACCGTACTGATCCAGAAGTCATGATCTAACTTCCGTTCAGACAGCCATTGCTCTCCATTAATCTGCTGAATAATCCTGGGGAACACATCTTATTTTCTTCATCTCTAGTGTCTTTGACACTCATTTTAAGATTGTATGAAAGAACTATCAACAATTGTAAAGGTCAGATCAGTGTTGGAACTTTTTAGGGAGAAATCTAAATCTGAAATATGTAGATAAATACTTCAGTACAGACTATTACTGCCCCAAGGAGGATTCATGAATAGATTGATATATTAGAAAATACCAAACTGAAGCCTGAATCCATTATGTTATCATGACAGCACTGTACTTCCATTTTACATCAATCAAATGATTGGTAACAAAAATAAACAGTGGCTGATATCATTTTGACATTTTCAAGGTGAACATTTACCAATAAGCATGATTCTTATCTATGTGAAACTAAATTTCTACTCTTTCTAGCCACATTTACTTTCTGTGATAGGGTGACAACCTTAAGTTAAATTAAAACAGAAAAGACTAACCTCGACTGCATTCCTTATTTGCTTAGTTGAGAAAATAGCTTTACATGACATGACTTAAAACCTGTATTCACAAAATGTTGGTCCATTTATACCTGTCATAGATTATTTTGAGGTATTGCTAAAACTGGAGGTTAGTAAAGGATGTCTAACTGCTCTTTTTATATCTGCAGACAGCAGCCAAGACCACTCCATCGTGGATTTGTTGGCAGGCCTGGTGGACGATGGATTCCACCGGACCGCCGTGAGCCAGACCTCCCGGTCACACTCGCCTCATGGTGCCAGAAGCTACCACTGTAACAGTGATGAGGAAGAGGAGGGGCCAGAACTAGAGCGGGAGGAGGCAGAAATCAGCAGGATCATGTCTCAGCAGTGGGACGCCGCGCCTCTGGAGGTTTCTCCCTCACCAAGGCAGGTGTTCTACTCATGGAAGGATGTCTGTCGAAGAGCCTAAAGTTGACCGTAAAACTCTTTCATTGAAAAACTGACAGCCTATTGTAGCATAGTGTAAACCTGTCTGTTAATCATAGCCCCAATGTAGACGGGATTGAAATGTGAGGTCAGATCTGCTGTCATGCAAAGCATATTCACATTTAACTCATTGACTGGCAGCCATTTTCAGAACAGAGAGTCCCTCACTGCCAGAGTCTTTTGAGCATTTTGACTGACTTTTCAAGAGCCAGAGAATAGTTTGTGCTATGACTATGTAAACACCGAACACACCAAAAGAAAGAGTAGACTCTTCTTTCATCAGGAAAAAAAAATTGTTTCTACCTTATTCCGTTCTTCCTGGACTTGCGTCTCACCGGCGCCATTTCTCTCATAGCGAACCATTGCGTTTGTTTTTATTTGCCTACAATCTATGCTAATCTCCCATCAAAAGTGGCACTGCCCCCTAGAGGGTCAATTTGTTACTACATACTCTGTCTGGAAGCCGATATTTACGGAAAAACTTTAGCCGATCGTTCCACAAGTCACTCGCATTGAAAAACATAAAAGACGTCTACAGACGTCTTTGGCAGCGAATGAGTTAAAAAGAGTGGTTTGTGTAAGTCATAAGCTCACCTTTCTCTGTGCACTGCAGTGAAAGAAAGCTGTGTGTGTGTGTGTGTTACAATCAGCGCTTCTGTTTTTCCTGTGTGTCCACAGGCCTGGGGAGAAGGAAGCAGAGGAAGGCTTTAGTGACGAGCAGCAGGAATCATCTGATGAAGACATGGAGTGGAGCGGGAATAACTCTCTGTTTGCCAACCTGTCCATCCCCCAGCTGGACGGGGCAGCAGATGAGAGCAGCGGTGAGTCCCCTCATGCTGAGATATCAGGGGGCTATGTGAGTCGTCTGCAGAATTGTGGCCAGAAAAAGACGGCAGGGTTAGGCTTAGACTGTTACCCTAACAGTCCAAATGGAGTTTTACCATTTGGAGATGGGGGTGTGGCTGTCTGAACAAGAAGCCAGGGGTTTTCAAAGTTTCAAAATGTCGTTTTTTACATTTCTCATCTGTTCGGCGTATCTTCAAAATGTGTAGTACCACTCAAAAAGTTGATTTGTCCAAAGTGTGTCATAAAGAGAAAAATGTCCACTGTTTTAGTTTGTGTTGTCTATTAGTTCTAGATGTCTTTTGCTTACTTTAATCTCAACTACCTTTTGAAGCTTTTACATAAGACTTTTCCTTTGGTCAATTGTCTGTCGCCTCTAAATCCTTTTGAATTAAACCAATATAAAGTTTAATTTAGCGTTTGAGTTTCAATTTAGACTAATTGATTTATTGCATGAAATCTAAATGGCGTCTGTTTGTCATTTTTGTGTCTACAGATTCCTCTTTAACAGACAGCGGCTCTATGTCCCAGTCCTCAGTCATTATCACAGAAAAGTTGTTGGGGAATACTAACCCCTACACTGGAGAGACGGTCAACTTGGAGCCCCCTTCTTCAGCTGAGATCCTTTTAGAGTGCAAGCACTCTGAGCATCGATCAGTTCACGTTCTGGACACAGAGCCGCCACTTGAGAAGCACTTTCAACTAAAAAACAGCATGGACAGCAGTACTGAATGTTCAGCAGGGTTCAAGGTTAATAAAGAAATCCCCTACATCCTACCAGTAAAACACCCCATTTCTTGTAAAATGGCCAGTTCCCCTGAAGTTTCTGCCACCTGCATGGACAAAGAGGACATACAACCCCTGTACAGTATGGACAAGAAAACTTCAATCCTCTCAAACAAGATGGATCTTGAGGATTTCCCGTTTGGTAAAGCAAAGGTCACCAAGAACGGGAAGAAGTACGGCAGCATGAAGAATGTAGAAACAAACTGTCTGTCGATTCTTCAGAACAACAGGACCTTCTCCCTTTGTTACTCCGAGCTGAGAAGCTGCTCGGCTAAGTCAGAGGTGGAAGTGAACATAAAGGAGAGAAAGAGCCCCGTCCTGAGGGACATCACGTCAGCCTCTTCACCTCTGAGGGACGTTGAGTTTCTTCATCCACAGGAGGAAGAAATTGGCCGGGAAAGTGAGGAGGGAGATGTCGGCGAGCTCAAAATCAGGTACGAGGATTATCAGGAAAACAAGATGGAGAGGACTATTGGGGCTCAGCAGGAAGCACATTACAAGTTCTTTCCCAGCGTCATTCTCTCCAACTGCCTCAATAGGAAGAAAAGCGGAAACAAAAAGGTGGCCGATACAAGCAGCAAGATAGAGATGTCCCCGTCTCGCAAGTCTAAACTAAAACTGACCAAGAAAAAGTTAGGGATGACAGGACAAAGGAACCGAGCAGACATGGTCCAAAGTTCTACCTCCGATAGTCTGGCAAATACTGGCCTTGCCTCAGACATGCCTGCTTGTTCTATGGCTGCAGATTCAGAGGCACCAGACTCCAAGGAGGAAGCACTACAAGAAAGTGTGCCAGTAAGAGATGAGCCAACCCTAGAAGTAGAGCCAATGGCAGTAGAAGAGCCAGAAGGTGAAGAGAGAATTTTAAATGAACAGCCAGAGCCAGAGCCAGAGCCGGTCGTCCCCAGCACTACCGTTCCCTCTTTTTCTGAGAAAGCCAAAGACTCTACCGGGGGCAGACCGAGCCCAGTACAGGACGAGCCCGCCGAAGTTACCTGCACTAAACCGTCAGCACTGCCTGGAAGCAAATACACCCTGAGGGCCAAACGCAAGATGACCTACGACGGGGAGGATGGAGAACACTCAGGTCCCACTCGTTCCAAAAACCCGTCTGCCGTCAAAGAAAAACTCAAAGACGGCAGCGTCTCCGGCGGGCACGAGTCCAAATACCAGAAGAGACGCAAGAAAGAACCTCCTGTCATTATAAAGTATATTATTATCAACAGGTTCAAAGGACAGAAGAACATGTTGGTGAAGATGTCCAAAGTGAACGCAGAAGAGAATCTGGTGGTGTTAACTCCAGACAAGCTGGAGCAGTACAACAAACTGGCTCCTCTCAAAGATTTCTGGCCCAAAGTGCCAGAGTCTACTGCTATGAAATTTCCTGTCTCCGGACCCAAAGCCAAAAAGCACATTAAAAAAAAGGCAAAGGTCAGCAGCGCAAATAAGAAAGCGGTGAGCAGCGACTCAAAACCTGGAATGGGACAGGGCGAGCGGGTCAAGAGTACAAAAGGTAATCGAAGAGGCCGTAGCCGGTCCTCTTTACCACCTCCTCAGCCGTGTTACAGCGGACTAGCACACGACCACGACACCGAGTACGCAGATGTAATGGTAGAACTGGGGTATCTCTCGGATCGATCCCCAAGCCCCCCGCGATCGACTCCTCCACGCTGTTGGTCCCCGAGCGACAGTCCAGAGCAGCAGGTCGATCCTCCCAGTGAGCCTCTTCCTGGCCAGGCACCGCAAAAGCCAATCACAGACTCTCAAACTAAAGCCGACCGATGCAAGCGACGCTCCAATAAAGCCGAGAAGTCCAGCAATACTAAAAAGCCTGCCGCACAGCCTCAAGAGGCAGAGGAGCCCAGAAAAGAGAAATCAAAAAGGGCAAGTAAAGCTCCGAGTACAGCCATAAGACCAAGAAAGTCTCGTAAAAAAACAATTTGCTGTGCCAAATTAAGCCATGATTTAAGTACAGACGTCTCGCAGCTCCCACCTCCGTTAGAGGGCCCCCCTCCAGAGTCTCCCCCATCTCAGCAGCCAGCGGCCACGGGGAGCCAGCCCCAGACCACATCCACACCAAACCCAGACCCCCGAGTCCAGTTTACAGCACCAAAGGCGGAGGACTGCGAGACCTCCATCATGGAGGTTAACCAAAGCACTTCAGCACCAGCCGAGACAAAGCAACGAGGTTGCCAGACCACTGTGATAAAGGAAGAGGCTCCCCAGCAGCGGGGCAAGGCCCCCCCGCCCGGAGCTGCTGCTCAGCCCTCTCTGGAGCACAGTCCAGACGTCCAGCCGGAAAAGGCCTCTCCACACTCAGGTCCCTCCACCGGGGGGATGCCTTCTCTCCCGGACAGCTCCTCTGGCCTGGCCGTCCTCAAGCAGCTCCTCCAGAGGAGGCAACAGGAGCAGGCCCTCCCCGTCCAGCCAGTGGGCACAGAGAGCCACGCCGCCATTGCCCAGGCAGCCGCGCTGCTAAGCCACACCCCTAAAACCGGCAAACCCAAAAGAGGCCCTTCCACCAACGCCCAAAAAGCCAGGGCCCCCAGGTCTGCTTCTCCAAAAGGCAAAAAGGCCAGAAGCAAAAAGGGCAAAGCGGGCAGCACTCAGCCAGACGTGTTGGTCAAACATGAAGGCAGCCTGCCGGAGGACTGCCCCCTCCTGCTGCCGGACGCTGGGCTAAACAGCTGCAACTTCATAGAGGACAGCCTGTCGCCAGAGCTCCCGCACAGCTACAGCTTTGATATAAACACCATCCATCACGCGGACTTCTCCAGTCCATACAGCAGCAGCCAGTTTGTCCTGACCGATAAACATCTACCCCTCAAGTTCCTCAGCGACATCAGTCAGGAAGCTCCCTCTGCTCAGGCTCTGCCTCCTGAGGAACCTCCCCAGAAGCAAACGGTCAGTGAGGTTCCCTCTCAGAAATTCTGTGAGGTGTACAAAGCCCGGCCCGCCAGTCCAGACCTGTTCGACAGATCTGAGAACGGGGAGTCCGCCTCAAACGGTCAAGCCTTTCTCAGCTCGGAGAAAATCCAGAGCCCAGACTGGGAGCCCCCGTTCAGCAAAGCCCACATCCTCAGCCCCTTTCAGGACTTCCACTGTGAGAAAAAGGAGCTGTTTCTCTCCGCCCTGGACCCCCTGCTGCCACTGCCCTTGAGCTCGGCGTCCTTCGTCTACCACCAGGGTTCGCCCACCAGCGAGCTGCTGGACGGCCTGGACGGGTTCGCCTCCCCCACGCCCAGCAGCTCCCCGCGCTCCATCAGCTCCCTGTCGCAGGTGAGGAGCAGCCAGCAGCCGCGGGGCGCGCACGTCCTCAAGCCCCTCATGTCCCCCCCGAGCCGGGAGGAGATCCTCAGCACGCTGCTGGACCTGGAGCTGCCGGAGGCGGCTTTCCAGGAGCCCTTCTGCAGCGACCCCGCCGACGCCCCGCCCAGGCCAGTGTAAGAGCTCAGCACGCACCCCCACTAGCCCCCATTAGCAGGACAGCCAGGAGATGCAGCAGAGAAAAAAAGAAAAGCATAAAAACATCAGAAAAGAGACATTTTCAAGTCTTTTCCGACTTGTTTTCAGCTATCTGTTTTTACTTTCTGAAGTAAAATAGCAGAACAGCCAGGAAATGCAGCAATGCACCCGCGCTAATCCACTCATTGGGAGAGGGAGCATGAAAGAAAAGCATAAAAACATCAGAAAAGAGACATTTTCAAGTCTTTTCCGACTTGTTTTCGGCTATCGGATTTTACTTTCTCAAGTAAAATAGCAGAACAGCCAGGAAATGCAGCAATGCACCCGCGCTAATCCACTCAGTGTGAAACAAAAGCATAACAACATCAGAAAAGAGACATTTTCAAGTCTTTTCCGACTTGTTTTCGGCTATCGGTTTTTACTTTCTGAAGTAAAATAGCAGAACAGCCAGGAAATGCAGCAATGCACCTGTGCTAATCCACTCAGTGTGAAACAAAAGCATAAAAACATCAGAAAAGAGACATTTTCAAGTCTTTTCCGACTTGTTTTCAGCTATCGGTTTTTACTTTCTTAATAATATCTGTCTGAGACTTATCAACATTTGAACGTGGTGCTCCATCTCTGGATTTTTTTCGTGATGTGATCAGGTTTGACTAATCATGCTTCGTCTCTTCTCCAGGGAGGTCGGGGGCCAGAAGCTAACGGTGAGCAGCAGGTCGATTCAGGAGCTCGCTGAATTCAGCGGAGACCTGTCGGTGGAGGGCCTCGGTTTCTGGAAGACTGCCTTCTCCGCCATGACACACCCCTTCTCCACCACTATTACCTCATCACCCCAGGGGGCCGGAGCCACCGGGACCCCCGACCCAGCCAGCGACAAAAAGGTCGTCCTCCTGCCCTGCAAAAACCCGCCGGGCCAGGAGTGTGTGCAGCTGTGGCTGGAGGCCAGGAAACAATACGAGAGCCTGCAGAAAGGGAGGAGAGCAGCCCAGAGGGAGGGGCCTGACGGGGAGGAGGGAAGCCCGGAGAGAGCCGAGCACCCAGAGGAGACGGGGGAGAGCCCCTCCAGTAGCAGGGCTCAGAGGAGAAAGAAACTGGAGCTGTCCTTAATCCTGTCTCCTCTGGTGGAGTCAGGCAGGCAGAGTCAGTCCCCGGGGGGGAGCCCGCTCTCAGAGGAGGGCGGGGCGGCCCTTAAAGACACACACACAGCGAACCAGGACGAGGGTGAAGCCGCCACCCCCTCACCAGAGTCCCCGGAGCTGCCTCCATGGCAGCAGTCCCACCAGTGGAGCCCGTCAGAACCAGACCTCAGTGAAAGCAAGCCAAGTAAAACCTCACCAGAAGCAGCGTCCCCCAGGCCCTGTGACTCCCAGGAGAGAGGAGGAGGGAACCGCACTCCCTCTCCCGGAAAGGACAGGACCAGTCCAGACCTCCTGACCAGCACCCCCTTTATAAGGAAAGCCCAGAGGAGCAGCAAAGACCTGGAGCCAGTATGCAGCACGCCCATCTGTGAGGGTAAGAGGCTGTCGGCTTCACATCTTGTTTCTGAAATGATCTCCATCATCTTTAAGTTCAGAACAGTCACAGTTTTCTCCCCTGCTTCTCATCATCCCCTCAGCAGACGACTCAGCTTCTCAGAGACTCCAGCAGAGGAGACGGCACCAGGCGGATCCACTGAGAAGGGTGTTACTGACCACACAGATGAAGGTCAGACTGAGTTATGAACGCATCACAGTCCTCACTTCTGATGGAGCCAGTCTGAGTGCTCGGGTTCAGGTCTGAACCTGTGCCGAGTCATCTGTCTAACTGTAGTTCTCTCTTTTGCTCTTGTTTCCAACCCCCAGAATCAGTTTTCTACTTTGAATGTGCCAAAGAAAGACCATTCACAGATTGAAGGGCCAAGCATAGCCAACTCCTACGGCTTTAAAGTCAGCATGCAGAATCTGCAGGATGCCAAAGCTCTGCACGAGGTGAGACGCCGCCCCTAAAACCCTCAAACCCTCAAACCCTCCGCTTCTGTGTGTCAGGCCAAACCTTTGGCAGTTTTTGGACTTTCGGTTTGATCCCATGAAAAAAGTAAACGCATGAACCTGAAGAAGGTCCAACCCAGGAAAGTGTGTCCTTCTTTTTTCTTCCTCTCTCTCGTTGTACCGGTACAGTGAGAATAAAGAAATTCATTAATTCCCACACAGCACACAGTTAGATTCCACACAATAGAGCAAACTCCTCAAAGATGGTTTGCTCTATTGTTTGGCCTTTAGACAAACCAGTCTGGCTCACATTGACTGAATAAGGTCTGAAGACTGATTGAGACTTTCATGAGGGTGTTCGTTATTCTTACACCCAAAGAAAAAAATTGGTGTGTGTCTCCTTTCCTGTCTAAAACTTCCCTGACCCCAGAAATTAGTCAAGTATTTATAATTAGTCGGTCTTTCTTCCTACAGGTTGGATGTGAGTTAAGGTTTGGTGAGCAATTCTCTTTAAATAACCCCTTCAAATTCTCGCTAAGATCTTTCAATTTGCAAAAAAAAATTGTAAAAATGAGAAAGTAGTGAAAGATTGAGTTGGGGATCGATACAGAACTCATAGTTTCAAATAGTTTAGACATGGCTGACCTGTCCTGGAGCTTTTAAATTGTGTTTTCTGTCTCATAAAAAGCATTATAAGAAAATGCTATTAGATTAAAATGCAATAAGTAATTGAATGACATGGTACTCAGTCACTGGGAACAGTCGCCATGTCCAATGCCAAAGTACTCTTCCAACGTTTCCTACATATTTCCAAACATAAGTTAGCATTTCTTCTGGTAACTTTGAGGTGTTCAGTTTACTTTCTTTGAGTGGACACACACACACACCAGAAGCTGAAGTCTGAAAACTCCTGTAGAGCTTCACAATGTTTTTCTTTTCATCAGTCTCCATTGTTCTCCTCGTTTGGCTGTGTTTTTTTTTTTCCCCATGCTCTTTAGGTCCAGTACCTCACCGTGATGGGAATGGAACTCCATGCAAGAACACGCCGTGACCTGGAGCCCGACCCAGAGTTCGACCCAATATGTGCCTTATTCTACAGCTTCAGCTCGGATGCCCCCCTGCTCCAGGTGGAGGGCAGGCAGCTGACAGGAGCCATTGTGGTGGACAAAGACCATCAGAACCGGGACCAAGGTGAAGTCTTAATTAAGCAAAATGCTGATTTCTCCAGGTGTCATTGTCATTTCAGTCTATGGTCTTTGTGTGTGAGATCAGCCTGGATAATGAATGTGTCTAACCCCCTCAGCAGGTCACAGAGAGGCTCAGTTGCTTCTGGTCAGGTCCGGCATCTCTGGGCTGAAAGTGACCTATGCCAGCGAGGAGAAGATGCTGTTTCAGGAGCTGATCACCATCGTGAGGAGGTGTGTTTTGTGTGTGTTTAGCTCTCATTACCTACACCACACAGGGCTGCTGCTGCTGTAACAGCCTGTAGGGTTGCCACGATACTAACATTTTCAACTCAATACCGATACTCAGGAAAATATTTGGTACTCGATACCATAAGGATAAAAACAAAGACCCCAAAATGTAAGAAAATGTATGAATTTTGACTAAACTGACCTATTACTGATGGTATGGTGGCCGGCGACCCACATTAATGACCCTAACTCTAACCCTCCACCCTTCATAATTGTGAGAAATAAATATTTTTTGGTTAAATTTGTTTAGACTTATTGTACAAACCTATTTAACATCCACTATTTTAACACAATATTATGTATAGAGTTTGCAAGATTCATTTCACTATTTTTAAATTAATGTCTAAATTCTCATGAAGCAATTAGGATTTTCTTGCCAGGGATCTTCCTATTGGTGACCTAATCAAAATGGCTGATTTGGATGTGGGGGAGTTGGATATCCATCCTTGGCTTCCTGCAGACTTGATTAATGTTGGCGTGTTATTAGCCATTAGCCGCAGCTAGCAATTCAAGACGTCACGTTAATGATCATAAACAACGTAAATAAATAAATCAGAGAGAACTATACTTTTGAAAATGAGTATCGTATCCGGATACAACGTTTTCGCATACTTTTGACAACCCTATCAGCCAGTACCCAGTTGGGTTGAGTTTTTTAGAAGCTCCTTTGAAGAGCTTACACCAGTATTTGCATCTATCTCTACTGCCAGGTTTGACCCGGACATCCTGGTGGGCTACGAGGTGCAGATGCATTCGTGGGGCTACCTCCTGCAGCGGGCCGCAGCGCTGGGGGTGAACCTGTGCCAGCAGCTGTCCCGAGTCCCAGGTACCACCGCCAGCCTCAGAGCTCAGAGCTGCGCGTCCTCAATTCAATTCAATTCAATTCATTTTATTTATATAGCGCCACATCACAACAACAGTTGTCTCACAGCGCTTTTCCAAACAGAGCAGGTCAGACCCTACTCTGAAGTTAATTACAGAAACCCAACAATTCCCACCATGAGCAAGCACTAGGCGACACAGGCAAGGAAAAACTTCCTTTTAACAGGCAGAAACCTCGAGCAGAACCATGGCTCAGGGTGGGCGGCCATCTGCCTTGGCCGGTTGGGGGTGAGGGAAAGAGAGGGCAAGAGAGAGAGAGAGAGAGAGAGAGAGAGAGAGAAGGACAGAGGGAGCAGAGAGAGGCAGCCAACACAGCAACACGTAGACTAGATTAAAAATGGCAATGATATTAATGCTAATGATGAGCAGGAACACGGCAGCCTGAAGGGGTTCAGTCAGGATTAGTAGATGAGCTTTGGTAGCTTTGTGTGTGTGTGAGCGAATCAAAGTGATAGCCTCAGCCTCTCCTCCTCTGTGTGGCTCTCACGCGTCCTCAGGCGACTCCGTGGAGAACCGCTTCGGCGCGGAGAAGGACGAGTACGGCGCCGACACCATGACCGAGATCCACATCATCGGACGCATCACCCTCAACCTGTGGAGGGTGATGAAGACAGAGGCAGGTGTCCCTGCAGACGAGTCCGGTTTTCCTAATCCACTGTGGCTCTCAGACTACATTTTCCCCTTTTAAAGTCGATAGTGGAAAACTTTTAAGTTGGATCCTATTTAACTTAACTCATTGGCTGCCAAAGACGTCTATAGATGTCTTTTATGTTTTCAGCGAGAGTGGCTTGGGGGACGATCTGCTAAAGCTTGTCTGTATATATCGGCTTCTAGACAGAGTATGTAGTAACAAATTGACCCTCTAGGGGGCAGTGCCACTTTTGATGGGAGATGAGCATAGACTGTAGGCAAATAAGAAAAAGGGAACGGTTCTATGAGAGAACATGTCGCCGGTGAGACGCAAGTCCAGGAAGAACTGAATAAGGTAGAAACAAAAAATTTTTCCTGATGAAAGAAAAGAGTCTACTCTTTCTTTTGGTGTGTTCGGTGTTTACATAGCACAAACTATTCTGTGGCTCTTGAAAAATCTGTCAAAATGCCCCAAAAACTCTGGCAGTCAGTGAGTTAAAAATGAAATATTTGCAAAAACAAGCTTTTTTGTACCACTTTGTGTCATTTTGATCCTTTCCTGGCTGATCTCTCTGGTTTCCTCTGGGCCAGCTCTCTAGGATCCCTTAGACGAGAGCTCAGAATCACAGTTGTTTCTTGTGAACATCAAAGGCCTCTCCAGGGATAAAAGCAGCATTTACTTATGGTTTTCACTTAAATTTGATCGAAACATTTTCCAAAATGAAACTATCCAGATGTTGAAAGCAGCTGGGTTGAAGTGCAACTCTTCCAGAAAGATACCACAAACCGTTGCACACTGAAACTTCATAAGTCTGAAGGTCTGAAGGGGGTGGGTGTTTGTCTGCAGGTGGCGTTAAACAACTACAGCTTTGAGAACGTGGCCTTCCACGTGCTGCACCAGCGCTTCCCCCTCCACAGCCCCCGCACGCTGTCCGACTGGTTCGACCACAACACAGACTTATACAGGTCCGGGCCCCGAGCACTCACCGTGTTCCCTGTATTTCTACTTTCAGCTCTTAGTTTGAACCGCATCATTCCATTTTTATTCAGCTCTTAGTTTCAGAATCAGAATCAGAATCAGGTTTATTGTCAAGTAGGTTTTTAGACTTACAAGGAATTTGCCTTTTTGGTGTTTAGTGCACAACACAACACTTCTATGAGAAGCAAGAATAAAATGTAGAAATAAAAATAAAAATATAGGACAGAAATTATCAAACTGAAAAATACAATCTTTAAAAATATAGATCTGAATGTACAAATGAGCGATCTTTAAAAATATAGATCCGAATGTGCAATTTAACAATTGAACCGCATTATTTCATTTTTATTCCCATATGGATGGAAATGTCAGAAAATAAAGATGTCATCTAAAAAAACTCAAATAATGATACCTCTGTTTGAACAGGAGAAAACTAATAGAAGCTGTAGCAGTTTGTTGGCTTGTTGCTGCACTTTCCTTTAGCTTCTGATCATCCTGCTGCGTGTGGCTGTAGGTGGAAGATGGTGGACTACTACATGAGTCATGTGTGTGGAACCATGAAGCTCCTGCAGCAGCAGGACATCATCGGCAGAACCAGCGAGCTGGCCAGGGTGTTTGGGATTCAGTTCTTCCATGTGCTGACCCGAGGATCACAGGTACCCACACACACTATTTTTGTTTAACCTTTGTTTTCAGAATCAGAATCGGAATCAGAATCAGGTTTATTGCCAAGTAGGTTTTTAGACTTACAAGGAATTTGCCTTGGTGTTTAGTGCACAACACAACACTTCTATGACAAGCAAGAAATGAAATGCAGAAATAAAAATATAGGACAGAAATTATAAAACTGAAAAATACAATCTTTAAAAATATAGATCTGAATGTACAAATGAACAATCTTTAAAAATATAGATCCGAATGTGCAAATGAACAATAGAGATGTGCAATGTTGATCTTTCAACGACAGACCAGAAAATGCTGAAGCATTGGGTAAATTAGTGAGATAGAGGGGGGTGGGAGAAGAATAGAATAGAATTTGATGAATTAACATACAGTCTTTAACATATGGACAAGCCAATTATAAAGACAACAACTCATCAAAGCTTTTATGTTGCACATCATGCTCCTCCCTCCCTTTTGCTCAGTACCGTGTGGAGTCCATGATGCTCCGTGTGGCCAAACCCCTGAACTACATCCCTGTGACGCCCAGCATGCAGCAGCGCGCCCAGCAGAGGGCGCCGCAGTGCATCCCCTTAGTCATGGAGCCCGAGTCCCGCTTTTACAGCAACTCTGTGGTGGTCCTGGACTTCCAGTCGCTCTATCCCTCCATCGTCATCGCGTACAACTACTGCTACTCCACCTGCCTGGGCCACGTGGACAGCCTGGGAACGTGAGGGCACGCCTCCTTATTCTGAATGAGCAGAAACACTTAGAGTTCTGCATGTTGAACTCAAAGTTAGGCTTATTTCGGATAGTCAGCAGAAGTGACGAGTACTTCTTTCCATATTTAAAAAGAAAAGGAGGAAAAAAGCAGTGCCTGTGTCACATTTTTGAGAGTTTCTTTGGAAGAAGAGTGTCTGACTCTAACCCTCTGTTCCAGGCCGGATGAGTTTAAGTTTGGCTGCACCTCTCTCAGGGTTCCACCGGAGCTCCTCTACCAGCTGAGGAATGACATCACTGTGTCTCCCGCCGGCATCGCCTTTGTGAAGGTGCGTCCCTCCTTTTCTCTTGTTCAGTAGCTGCAGCATGACAACAGGAAGCCCACCTCTATCTCTTTGTGTCACGTGGCCACGACAGAGAAACGATCAGCTTGGTTCAGTGTGAATGAGGCGATACGAACGGTTTTAAAAGGGTTACAACATACAGTATTTGACCGTCTGTCCCTGTGCGTGCTGCCTGTGTTCAGTCGTCCGTGCGAAAAGGCGTCCTGCCCAGCATGCTGGAGGAGATCCTCAACACCAGATTAATGGT